TGTCAGGTCACACTTCATGATGAACGTTGCATGGTCTTAGGCGACTACTGTACATCCTAGTTTATAGATTTCTGTCAAGTACAACCGCGTCTAGTTACCGGTTTCGCACATAACTGTTGTTTTCTCAAAAAGAATGCCTATTTGTTCACAGTCAGTAGTTATATTTTTGAAATCTTAGTTCATGGTTATGAAATCCGAAGTTGCTGTTTTTCCATCTCACACTTACTTGACGTTCTCTTATTGTCTTTGCCTTTAAAGAGGGTTATAACAGAATGGAGAAAACGGACACTACCGTTTGGGTTGGTCTGATCCAGATGCTCAAGGAAAAGGAACTGTTGCCTGTAATCGCCTTCTGTTTCTCGCGAGCCCGCATTACCAACCTCGTTCACGCTCTGGATTCCGTAGACCTGCTCACAAAGGGTGCGTTTCAGCAATTTTTGTTTTGTAATCTTTTGATCTTTGTCTTTCTGTTTTTTGTTTGCCCTTTGTCCGCCGGCTTTTTAGCTCAATTTGGCGTGAAGAGGTGTAGTTGAGCCCTAGAGACCCTTCAAATCCGGGCCTATTAATAACCCTGGTAAAGCAGTTAAGTCGAGCCGAGCTTCCAAGTTCGAGCTGCTCCATGCCGGCCTAGCCTCAGTTGCTCCGGTCGGATGTGTGATACCTTTTATAGTGGCATTTGGCCCTACAGCAACGCCATTGCCCAAGCTGTTGACACAAATTCTACCAGACCCCCCCAAAAGATAATTCTGTAAGATCTACGGGTTTGGTTGGAACGATTCGGACTAACTAGTCGAGGCGTGTAATTTTTTTGAAACTCCACAACAAGACAAGCAGTACTGGCACATCACTAGGCAGGGCAGCTACCTTGGAAATAATGGGTCGGCCCTTCTTGGGATAGCAGAGCCCTCATCCGGGGTAAAGGTTGCATTAAGGGTTTACTACAGCACGCAAAAACCTCATCCTTTTGTAATACGAGTGCAGTAGTAATAAGGATTAAGTGGGTTGGGCATTTGAGGGGAAAGAAGAAATAATTTTTAAAAAGGTAGAGCGTATAAAACTAGAAAATGATAGGAATAATTATTTAGATAACCAAAAATTAGCGCACGATAATGGAAATAAGAAGCACAACCAAAATTAAACGAGAAGGCTCAATAGAGCTCAATTGGATACAATCCTCGTCTCGATATGAACTCTGTCTAAACGCTGTATGAACTCTTTGTCTTTTTGGCTTTCTTCCCTATTTTTAAACTCACAATAGTTTCTAAGCCAAAAAGCAAATGCATGTTGGCAAAAAAAGGAAACAAAATTAAACTAACTGTTATAGCCCAGTATAAACCGACCCGACTAGTAGGCAGAAGAAGCCAAGAGAGCGGTTCTGATAAGAAACCTTTATTCTGATCAATACAGGCTCCTTAGCTTTTCCAATACAGCCAATTTGTGAGGCTCTGGCCTTCTAGAATACTCCTG